ATTGGGGTCCGAGTGCGACACCTCGCCTTTGAAGGGGTTGCACCTTCTGCAGACGAAGCAGTGGGTCTATTTATATCCCCCCGACCCACTGGGGGTAAGTGAAAGGAAAGAGGAGAGAGGAGAGACAAGGAAGGAGAGAGGAGCGAAGAGAGAGGAGAGACGGAAAGGGAAGGAGGCGAGAAAGTGAAAGAGGGAGGAGAGGGGAAAGACAGAGAAATGAGAGAGGAAATACTGTTAAACTAGAGACGAGAGGTGAGAAACAGGGAATGGAGAGGAGAGAGGGGAGAGACAGGGAAAGGAGTGAGGAGAGACGGGGAAAGGAGAGAGGATTGACAGGGAAATGAGAGAGGACAGGCAGTAGAAAAAGAGAGAAGAGACAGGGAAAGGAGACAGGAGAGAGAAGAAAGGAGAGACAGAGAAAATAAAGAGGACAGACAGTGAAAGGAGAGAGGAGAGAGGGCAAAGAAGAGACAGGTTAAGAAGAGAGGAATGAGGAGAGAGAAGAGAGTAGAGACAGGGAAAGGAGAGAGGAGAAAAAGAGAAAGGAAGTAGGAGAGACGGGGAAAGGAGAGAGGACAGATGAGAGAGGACAGAGGAGAGAGGAGAAAGGAGAGACAAAGAAAACAGAGAGGAGAGACAGGGAAAGGAGAGAGAAGAGAGGACAAAATGAGAGACAAGCAAGGAAGAAAGGAATGAGGACAAAGGTGAGAGGAGAGAGGGGAGAGGGGAGACGTGAAAAGGAGAGATTGGAGACAGGGAAAGTCGAGAAAAATAAGGAGAAAGAAGAGAGGAGAGGCCGGAAAAAAGGAGAGATGAGAGATAGGAAAAGGAGCGGGGAGAGAGGAGTGAGGAAAGACAGAGAGCAGAGACAGGAAAAGGAGAAAAGAGACAGGAGAGAGAGACAGGGAAAAGAGAGAGGAGAGACAGGGAAAGTAGAGAGGAGAGACAGGGAAAGGAGAGAGGAGAGAGGAGAGACAGGGAAAGGAGAGAGGAGAGACAGGGAAAGGAGAGAGGAGAGAGGAGAGACAGGGAAAGTAGAGAGGAGAGACAGGGAAAGGAGAGAGGAGAGACAGGGAAAGGAGAGAGGAGAGAGGAGAGACAGGGA